TCACTGATGTGGTAAAGCATAACATGTCCACTCTGTTATGCTTGTTGATAGTGGAAACTGATATTTTTTGTAATTTTGAAAATATGGTTAATAAGCAGGTTAAAAATCTTCCTCTGTGATCACTACGCACTAGCTTGTTGTTTATTACATGAGTAGCAATAGCTGACTTTAGCATAAAATGTCCCTCCTGTTACTGTCCACCCTGTTACTGTTTTGCACTGTAACAGGGTGGACATATTGTAACATTTGATGTAAAAATTACATAAATAAGTGTTTAAAGCATGTATTGGTACTGATAATTAATTTATTATGCATTTAAAAGAACGGTGCTGTTGTCTGCTGAAGAAAAGCAGCGACGCTACAGGGCTCGTTGTGATGCACACCCTGAAAGAAGGCAGATATACCTCAATAAAAAGAACGGGAGGTGGAGAAAGGACATAAAAGAAGGAAGAAAAAAAAGAGTGTTAGAACTCAGCTTTGTTGATTAGGTAGAAACTGTAATAAATTATCTTGACTTTGCCATTACAATGTGTGTGTATCTCTGTGGTGTGTGTTCGTGTCTATGTGCTGTGTGTGTGTCTGTGTGGTGTGTGTGTGTACTGGTATCCCCTGCATTATGGGGTCCAAATGTTCCCACAGGTATAGTAATAACAGTAAACTTTCATCTTGTGGGGACATTTATTTGGTTCCCATGAGGAAAACAGCTTATACGTTTTTGTGAGGGGTATGTTTACGGGTAGGGTTATGTTTAGGGGATACAAAGTGCAGCTGTATAATATAAAAATAATTATGTCTATATAATGTCCCCATGGAAACCAGTGTGTGTGTGCGTGTGTGTGTGTGTGTGTGTGTGTGTTTTGATTCAGTGCATACAAGACTTCATAATAGCCAAATCAAGGATGAATATATGCTACAATATACCTGTAGTTTTGAAAGGATTAAATTAAAACATTATTTACTTTTTTGTTTTCAAAGTTCCAGAACATTGCATCCTCATCCAGTGTGAGCACCCTCCCTTCTGTAGCCCCTTCATTCACCACACCAACTGTGCTGACCCTTATTGCACCATCTGGATTTGGCTGCCAGTTCATCACATCATAGATGGCCAGAGCATCTCCATTCTCATCAAATGACACATGATCCCCAAAACCTGTGGTGAAGTTCACTTTTTGTAGGTAATGAACTACCTGTACAGGTTACAGACAGGATATGTGTAATATGTATTTCTATATTGTGAATAAACATGTAGATTTTTTTTTCTGTACCTGCCAGGGCTGAAGGTTTATTATATCAGCACAGCTGTTCCCACTGAATGGTCCTCTCCCCTCCTCACACTGCATCAGGTCATGAAGCGCATGTGCCAGGGCAAAAACTGCTTTATACGCATTATAAGAGGCCCTCAGCTCTGATACATCAGTGTATGGTGTGTCTGTGCTCCTCAGATCTTCTTGCCCTGTACACACCTTTCTTTCCCCCTCTACCCCTATCTTTCTGCCTCCGGTCTCAAAATTGCACGCAAACATTTTCTCCCAGAAGATTCTTACCATATTGTTTCTTGGATTGCTGTCAGGACGAAGGTAATACAGGAATTCACGAAGTCCCTGGATCTCTCCACGCCTGATAGCGATACCCAGTGTGCCCCCCAGAAAGGGCAAGAGACGCTGAGTGTGAAATACCGGTGAGGTGGCCCAAGCTTCACTTGCAATCCATTGCCTGCCTGTTACATTTTGCAATGCCACCTCATCCATCAATGGTAACAAGTAGGCTTCTGTGGAGAACACCACCACCACTCTAGCTGTAGAGGCCTGAATCACTGCCAATATATTGTGAATATCTCTACGGTTATTATCACGAGGTAGCATTTCAGAAAAGTCAACACACCCTCCAAATAGCTGCACATCTTGGTGGAATGACTGAGAGGCATGGATACCATAGTCGTCATCACTGTAGAGCAGACCAACCCAAGTCCATCCAAAATGCTTTAAGATCTGAACCATAGCCCGCACCTGGAAGGCATCACTAGGGATTGTTCTGAAGAAAGAGGGGTACTTTTTCCTGTCACTCAAACAGGAGCAAGTGGCATAGTAACTAACCTAATACAAATCACAAGAACAAAACAAACAAACAAAAAAGGTTTGT